CCCCTCTCTCTCTCTCTCTCTCTCTGTCTCGCTTTTCCACACGGCGAGGTGTTCCTCCGACGGCGGAACTTACTTCCGGGATCTCGGGAGCCACAGCGGTGGCATTCTCGTGCGGAAATATTGCGTCTCGTCGAATCTCGGGGGCGGAAAAGGAACACGCTCCCCATCCTTCTCTGTCTCGATCGGCCACGTGCTAACACGTGTACCCGACTCGCGAGCGTGGTAACGACTACGCGCGATATACATTCCGCGGAAGGGCATTGTTGTCCCGCTACAATCTATTGTCTATTGTTGCGGTGCATTGTTGTCGTCGAATCCAATGGAGTAGGACTAACGCTGAATGGTCTCTTCCACGACGGGAATCGCGGTCCTTTTCCCGCGATCGACGTGTCGTCGGGGATCGATGCATCCCCGATGCCGAGTCGCGATGCGAAGTCGCTCACGGGGAGGTTTTCGGCGTTTCCTTCTCCTCCTCCTCTTCTGCTCGATAAGGCTCCCGATTATCGCTGCCGGCGTCGGGATAGCGGCCAGCGCCGCTTAATTTCGTGATGGCCGGCAGTTACGCCTGAGTTATCGTCCACTTACAATAAGAACGTAACTCACGCGAATGCTACCCCATCGGTTTTACACACAAACGCGGGTCCGCCGGGATATGGTCTATCGCGTTTCTTCCGATTCCTCATGGGGCGCGCTCCACGTCAGCGACGATATCAGCGATATAACGCGACGGCGAGATTGCTCGCCGCTAAAGAGCCGGCCGTAAAAAATACAGTTCCCGTAATCACGCTACTTATCATTGCAGCGCGACAACTTTCAGCAGGGAGCGATTAATTCGCCCTTTGTGCCAATGATTTGTGCGAATGATCGTTTCGCTCCTTCCGATTCCACCTTGAGCGTAATTGACGTCTCGATGAAATGTGCCTCTTGTCGTTGCGTCCCCGTGCTCGGGCCACGGCAGCGTCCACTTAATAATTATCTCACGATAACACCTCCGATAACATATTCGAGGGAAGTTAATATCCGTCCGTGTCATATTTACAATCTTTCCTCCCTCCTCCCTATTCGCGAATCACGCCCTTGATATCTGTCACGACTGTGCACAACACTGTCGAACTTGGCTCTGTCTCTCGCGTCCCCACTTTATCGAGCAAGGTCTATTTATAGAAACTCGACCCGCCTCGTGCATTCTACTTGAGCCATCGCGCTGAGCATTACGAAAGTCACTTGGGAGGGCGATGAAGGAAAGGAGAGGAGAGAGCGCGCGAAAAGGAATAAGGGGACACATTTTCGTTTCCGATAAGACGCGCAAGCAGACAGCACCGGTATGTGTATGTGTGTGTGTGTGTGTGTGTGTGTGTGTGTGTTTAGAGGCCCCGCGAAAGTGTCTGAGATCGTTTCAGACGAGAATGCCGCGATCGAGAGAATAGGGTAGACCGAGTCAAGTTGGACCACTTTTCAGAATTTCAAAGTTACTACTTTGCAGACAACTAATTGCTGTGGTTGACTGTTCATGCATGATAGAGACAACCTTCCTTCATGTTTCTATGCTATCAACGATTCTGTAAAACGTGTATTTTGTACTGTAATAGCAGAGGAATGAACATGCTATCACGTGACCGTCCCGCCTTGATACTAGGTCGAGTTGCCTAATGACTTCGAGTAATCCAGGATTCACACTGCGTCGACATCCAACGTACGATGCCCGATATTAAATAAAAGAACCAGGCTAGTTCCGCAACCTTACTTTAGGTCGTGAGCTGTAAGCAAGTTGACAAATCACAGTCGAGTATTAGAAGAATAATCGACTGCAGTTAGTCAATTTGCTTACGACTTAAAGTAAGGTTGTGGACCCAGCCATTTTTGGGAACAAAAATGTCGTCAGCTAGAAACTCGAAGCAACTTTTCTCGTCAAAATTATTATTTTTGTGGTAATTTACACTGCAATGTCAATATACCAGTCCAGTTTTACGAAAAATATCATAAAAAGAAACATATATATTATTATTATATTAATTAAATATATTAACTGTTTAATTAATATTAATATATATTATTATTAAACATATAATAACCTATTTTTTATGACAAAATGTTCTGCCTGCAGTTCCCGGAGTGCCTATGTCTTTGGACGAGAAGCCCACCCCCCGTCGCGAAACCGCCCGATTAATATGCTCGGTAACTACACGTTTAATTTATTCATAATGGCGCAATCGCAATTACTTCGTTCGTTAATTATCGCTTCAATAAATGAAACGCTAATAAGTATCCCTTGCTTTACAAATACAAGCGTCAATATTCATTCGTGAGGAATGAGTCGGCGGTGTTTGTTCTTTTATAAGTTTAACATCGATATTAAAACGCCGTGGCTTGAGATCGATCGTGGGGAGGAGGAGCAGGAAGGAGGGAGGGGGATGGTTTCGAGCTCTCGCTCTCTCGTGCGCGCGAGCACGCGAAGGGCAAAAATTCGCCCGCGATTACATCGTCGAGCTAATCATATCAGATTCGTATCATTTCGCACGTATGATTTTAATTACGATAATTACCGATGGCTCACATCCACGGAAGTGATTTCATTTTCGGCATTAACAATACCGATGATTACGCATCTCGATTAAATCCTCGTTGATTTCATTCAAATTTGAGTTTCGATACAACAGTGGATTGGGGACAAACAATTTCGTGCAAATATCGGAAACATCGTATTGATATTTCTATGACCGGTGAACGCATAAACTCGTAATCAAATATCGCGCTCCATAGTGGTTCTTTATTTGATCCTCCCTCTCTCTCTCCCATTCCCCTGTTCCGTTTTTACAAAACATTCCCTTTTTTGACTGACTGACTGACTGGCTAACTGGCTGGTAAGCGACTGACTGTTGACCGCGCGTCGTTTTACAGAGGTCTGCGAGTATATTTCATCTCTTTATAGAAACATTTCATTTCCAACGAAGAAACGAAATTACCTCGCATCATATTACGATCTCGCTCGCGCGACATTCGATAACGTTCCGACACCCAACGCCGCATTGGGATCCGAGCTCCGATTCCAAAGTAGACGTTAATCCCGGCGCGCGTTCGCGCCGTCTTCTTGTACGGTGCATAATAGTCGCGTGGGTCCCGTTCGAGATTTTTCATGACTGTGTCATGAAAATAAGTGAGGCCCAAATATGCCTCGGGAGCCGATACATTTCCGCGGGACATTCGGGGGTTACGAGGCGGTCGTGCACGGATTAACACTTCGAACGCCACCATACACTTCGACGCGGTCGTTTGGCTGCGTCACGACGGAAATTTCTTTTCTCTGGGTTTTTCTTCGTTACTTCGTTATCGTCTTCCGACGATAAGTCAAGAAACGCGAGACAGAACCACCCATCCACCCATCCATCCATCCACCCCCTCCCTCCTCGACTCAAGGGGAGAGAGGGCACGTACTTGATGGAACGTAGTTGTCTCGGAATGATTTCGCGGACGGGATGTCGCTTGACATCCCGCCGCGCGTCCGCGTTGTCTCATCTTCGTTTCGTTCTTATATATGCATTATGCATTCTTCGTGTCCCGACGATGCCTGCTTCCATTACCCGTAATGACACACACAGCCGCTCGCTGTGTACAACGAGCGCGCGCGCTGCTCGTCCCTTTTCTCGGAGCTTTGCCCGCGATGGATATTAAGACGATTGATAATGCACGACGACGCGACGATCTCTAGCGAATGTGCACGAGAAGCTAACAACAAATTGTAGGGGATAGAGCGCGCTGGGGAGAAACCAGAATAGCTCTGAAATACTCAAAATTAATTAGGAGCAATGTTTCTATATGGAGACAACATTATCTCACGCCTCTTGCATTTCTTCGTTAAAAATACGACTTGTATATTACCGGTTCACAACCATCCTGAGTGCGCACGCGTTATTTGTGTTCACTGATCTCATTCTTTAGAAATTAAAATCTTTTTTAAGCAATTTAGGACTGATGGGAAACTCTTAAAAGACTCGACAGTTTGCCAATCTATCACTTTTTTTCTTGATACCTTTTTCTCTCTTCTTTTTTTTAACAAATAATCCGATAAGATGTAATCGATTTCGCGAGGATGTTTATCGTTCTGTCCCGAATAACTGTGCGATAAAGTAGACACATATTGCGCGGGAACAAATAAGATCGCGTCTTCACGTGAAATTACTACGCAACTGAAGATAATCGACAACTTGTGTTGTGTTCAGGAATATTGTTAGATTTCAAGTCCATGTGATAAAATGTAAATTTTAGATCCTTGATCCGAACTGACTTTCGGATGGACGATAGAAGGACCGTGTTATAACTTGATGCTTCATTAATGACGCTAAAAAAATTAATGGCAGCATGATACAAAATAATCCGGTAATTATGCATATTAAAGAACACCTCGCCGATGACACATTGATCTTCACTTATGTGATAAAGGTAACTCTCCTGAGTAACGTTCTGAAGGTTTTAGGTGGCAGTCTCTATTAAAAAGTTATGAACAAAAAAAGTTGACTATTTAGGCTGTAGTTTTCCGATTGTATGTATATATTATATACAAATATCTTACTACATGCACAAAATACACGGGTATGCGCGGGGGAGGGGCTCCGCCCTTTCCCCCTCTCCAAAAAACTAACCCTAACCAAACCCATCATGTACGGTTTGGAATATTGCATTAGATAAATTAGGGTTAGTTTTTTTGGGAGGGGTGCTTCCCCGTGCATGTACTGTTCACCATATTTCCATATACACCGTATATGGAAGTATTTTGTAAATGCGATATAATTGTCCAACACTACATGTCAATTATTGTAGCATCCTTATGTTACTACATAGTTAACATCTTACATATTCAAGTGTCACTTTCTTTCTATTGTACATAACATTGTATTACTTAATACACGTGTACTTTGTGCATTTAGTAAGATGTCTATAGAATATATACATAGATACAGTCGGAAAACTACAGCTCAAATAGTCAACTTCTTTTGTTCATAACTTTTTAATAAAGAGAGACCGCCACCTAAAATTTTGTAAATGTTTCAGGAACATGTCCTTGACAACATATATAAAGGTCAAGGTCATCGGCGAGGTAGATCTTTAATATGCATAATTACCAATAATCCTATAAAGAAAACTTAATTAAATTAGTTTCTCCACAAGATACTGATCACTCTGTTTTTCGCTCGTGAAAATGATGTATTTAAGAAAAAAGCCGCAAAGATACTCAAAATAGTGAGGGACAATGTTGCTAGGTAAAGCCAACATTATTATCTCACGTCTCTTGAATTTTTCGCTAAAAATATGACTTCTATGTCATCCATTCATTTGAACAACCATCTTGAGTGCGTTATTTGCGTCTATTGACTTATTCTTTAAAAACAAAAATCTTTTTCAAACAATTTGGGATTACTAAGCAATTTAAAAAAGACTCGACTCGAAATAAATCTCGAAATAACTTCACTTTAGTGACGTGATTATGTAAACCTAACAGGATTAACTCCGATATACATGAAGATATGAAGAATTCTAAAGACCATTTTTAGATGGAGAAAAAAGAAAACTCGATAAAAATATCCAAGATACAAGGAAATAAAAAAACTCTATCCTCGACGCGCTCGTCACAGCGACATTTACCGTCAGGAGTTTACGAGCAAAGATACTGTGTACGTTTCTGTCGGGCTGAAGGAAGAAAGCTCGAGCTCGGGGTGAAGTCGCAGCGCTCTTGCTACTTCCGGCATGCGCGATTTCAAAACTCGTTATTCCACGTGGCTTTGTCGCACGCATCCGTTCGGCAACGAAAGAGAAAAGAAAGCAAAAGAAAGAAAAAGAGACAAAGAGAGTCCTATCAATATACATATATATGCATAGGGCGAATTTCCGAGTTGAAATTTTAGCGCTACTTTTGACCTAAATTTTCGATCATTTGTAGGGGAGACCGGAACTATATCATCCCAAGGATGTACTTTTTAGTAGTAATATTTAGTATTAGTATTTATCGTAAGAATAGTGATGTCACAAAATGGTTCTTTCAGAACATAAATATCTTTCTCTGAATTTCATTAAAATCGTAATAATATTACAGTTAAAAAATAGAAAAGTGATTTGGTAATAGCAAAGTAAATTTTCGAGCCTTTCGAAATTTTCTATTAATATTTCCCATCGTGACTGAAGCAAAAAGTAAACGATATGTTATTAGCTAGAATAAAATTTCTTGCAAATATATGATATACCGTTTCTGGTAATAAATATAATTTTCATGTATAAAATAATTGAAATAGAGCATATGGACGGACGAGATAAAGTTAGCCCATATTTAAGAACCGACGGGAGGACTGTAGAGATCTCTCGTGGAAACTCTGGAACTACTCAGTATATATATTTTAAACGTGGCCTTCTTTACTCTGCGCTAAACTGAATTCGATACCAGGGCAAGTTGGCCACATTATTGCATGTTCGTATTTCAATTATTATAAAATAAAATATGATTAATAGAGTCGTGACGAGCATTAATACATAGAGGAAGATCATCTATCATGTTTATACAGCCAGTCATGACAATTCGTTGTCTGAGAAGTTGTAACTTCCAAATTCTAAAATAAAGGGCGTCTAGCCTCTCTATATTCTAAAAGATCAGTGTATGTTAATACACATGGAAAGCGAGTTCTACCTGGCGCCTTTAAACATCAAAAACGTAATTATAATTTCTAAAGAGAACTTCTCGGCAAAGCCGAGTACGTTAAATAGAATCAAAAGAGGTTGATGTAGGCTTCGCGGTACCGAAGGAATTGAATGGAATATTGAAGTCGAGAGTAGGATCAAAATTTGAACACGGGTTCTCTAGCACGTAGCGCGACCATGGAAATAAATGCTCTCGTAATTGCGAACGGGAAACAAGAAACAAGCGCGTAATCAGAGTATCCGCTCGGGCGACGGTTCTGTATTCCTGCGCAGTATCGAAGAAATAACTCCTCGATGAAATATCGATACGGCACATCGCGGCATATTGAAATACGATGAAAGCCGCGCGCGCGCTCGCAATTGGACCGACGAGAATCCGAGTTTTGTGTATTCACGTCTGTCCCCGATGTATAATACGCACGCGCGCGCGAGCGCCCGAAAGGACGTGTCGCGACAAAGGTATCGTTAAAAAGTCCTTAAAGCCCACACGTTGT